CTACCGGCGTCGGGCTTCCGGATAGACATGGTGGTTTGGATGCCATGAAATCTTTATACTTGCATCCTCATCCATCATTTCCTCCATCCTAGTTGTTATGTCTAACCAACGGTGGGTTGGCTTGACCAATAACCCCACTGAAGTTTCCTTCATCCGACTGCCCTTCACTTAATTCAGGCTGAACAATCGGCATCGAAGGTTCTTCACGATTCTGTTGAAGCATACGTCTAGTTTCTTCCATCTGACGATCCAATATCGTCTGAATCATCAATTGTACACCACCATTGTCTTGGCTCAGGTGCTGCTGCTACAACAGGTATTTGCTCGATTACAGGTGGTTGATTCCTGTTTTCGTTCATGTTTCCAACTCCGCTTCTTGTTCTTGCCATTGCTGATCTATACACCGAATAACGTGAATTTAGATCCTTATTCTTGATAGATAATTAAATTATCCAATTCACTCCGAAACGTTTACATGCTAGTTCTAATTTCCTAGTCGCACACTTAGAATCCTAAACACATAAGGTCTTCAAATCCGGTTGGCAAGAAACCGTACATCCGAACAAATGATATCATATATGGCAAACATATAACATTTAGCACATAAAAGCATTTTAGGCAACATTCCTAAAATAAACTATGCTCGTGTATTAATATAACAGACACTCATCTCACATCTTCACTTAGCATTCTAAGTTTAAGTCTAGAAATCCTACAAATTCCTAGTCACTTAAACTAATGCTCTGATACCAACTGTGACATCCCCAAAATCACGGCCAGAAAAGACCGGTTTCATTTATGCTTTTAAAATAATTTCAGAGTAAATCCTTTGATTAAAAGAGTTGCAGAATTTGTCCCCAAAACAATACATGATAAAATAAGGTTTATCAAAGCATTTCTTAAAGAAATGTATTTTCATTATATATCAATACTCGGGATGTCATGTTCCGATACAGACACAAAAGCATAAACAATAAAACATAGACCTTACACAGTTATATACAACTACTGGTCTATAAACAAAAACATCTTCACAAGTTCTCCAACTTATGCTCTCGCGCCACTACCTGTAATACAAAGAAACTGAGTGGGTAAGGCTTGGGAGCCTGGTGAGCATATAGGGTTTTCAACCCACAATAAATAATTATATTTAATTTCACCAACCAACAATAACCCGATTACCCATTCCCGTTATCCTCACTTTACGTCCCTAAAACAACAACTATCATAAGGGACCTAGTCTAGGATTTTTCATCGGGATGCTCATTACTGCAAAGGGGTTTCCTCGACAATAGATGTCCTAAAGGCAACCATGAGGGGGATAGAGTCCCGATGAACACATCGTTCACCACCTACAGGTTATGAACCTGCCAGCGTTCCACTGGACAGTCGAGAAAGTGTCCGTGGTCGTCATCCATACTCCGCTAGATGACTAGATCAACAACAACATCGAGGCCTCTCATCATTTTTATTTCATCACACATCACTATCTACCCATGTTCTACCCAACATATTTGTAGATAAAATATACTTGTTTATATACAACTTAGAAACCTGTATAACATATTCATTCAATACTCATATCACATAACAAATAGTATATAATCACATAACACGTATTTCATAGAGTATAATTCATATATGTGTATTATAGAAAGCAACTACACACTTACTCATATCATATATCTAATACATTCATCAATACTTGTATTAAAATCGTGTATATGAAAGGGACTATGCACTCACTTGATAAGACGATGCTCGGACAGCACTACGGCTCTTAAAGCAGTATTCTTCGGTGAAACTGTGATCTCTTCACACACCGGGCTTCTCGCGGGCAGAGCTTCGGCTCGAAACTATTTTCTTCTCGGGATCTTCGGTGCTTTGGGACTCGCTTCGGGTCTCGGGATGATACCGGGGCTTTGGGGGTATAACTTGCACGTAAATCGAGGTAATACGGGTGAGAGGAAAGAAATTGAGCAACAAAACTCGGCTGGCCTTGCTTCCTATTTATAGGAGGCTGGAAATCTAGGCTCACATCGCGAGCTCGAATACGTCACTGCGTTCGTCATGGCCACTTGCCCTGGAAGATGTCAATCACCTGATCATGTCGTGAGCCACTGTGCTCACGTCGTGAGCTTTGACACAGGGATTGAAGTTTGTGCCCCGAACTTCAGAAATTCATATCTTTCGCATACGAGTTCCGTTTTCGACGTTCTTTATATCCACGCGTAGGTGAGATTATGCTCTACAACTCTTATTTAGACTCTGTCGGCTAATTTTGTCTTTATTTTTATTACATTATTTTTAGTAGGCAGAGACAGGAAAACTCCGTTAGAAATTCATAACTCCTTCATCTGACGTCTGTTTTCGTCTGTCTTTTCACCGTTGCATTACTATCGACGAGATCTTCTATTCTCGTTCAGATTGTTTCGGCTAGAAATCACTCGATCTCATATTCGAAGTTTGGGCTGCATACCGCTAAGTCGAAATTTCGAAAAATCATAAGTTCCTCATACAAAGTCATATTTAGATGTTCTTTTTATGCACGCTCTCGGTTTAACTTATTCTACGACTTTCGTTTAGATCACTAAGGCTAAATATCGCTCTATCGTAAATTCTCTATTTACGTCACACAGTGTCGTACCGGTTCTGTCGAGAAAATTCGACATGTCATAACTTCTTCGTTATAACTCGGATTTCGGCATTCATTATATATTCGGAAACCTTGCCACGACCACTACAACTTCCTTCATAGATATCGGGCTTATCTAATATTTTACTTTATCGCTTATTTTTATCCTTAATTCATTTAAATCACACAATTAAGCAATAAACACATAACACTCAAAATAATACATTTTTATTATTTCACAACGGTTTACAAAGGTTAACCTAGACAACGGTTCACATAACACAACTGAAAGCTCCTAACCACCAAAGCCGAATGGTACTCCTATTGCTCAAAGAGCTCCAATGATGACCATGTCGGTCAATCATGTTGATGATACTTTCAGTGCATTTTGTGTTAATAGAGTCTCCAGGTTCTTTTGCTCATCAGGGGATGATCTTCAGTTTTTGACATATGAACTTCCATCAACATACCTTCAGATTAACTTAACTACAAAAGCTCTGATAGATCAGCTTATGTAAGTGTATTATTTACACTTGCTTAGACAAGACTTAACTTAACTAGAAAAGCTCTGATAGATCAGCTTATGTAAGTGTATTATTTACACTTGCTTAGACAAGACTGACTATTTATAATGAGCAGATACACTATGTATATTTTGCATCATCAAATCTATACCAATATATGACCCAACAGTGTCATATATTGAGAAAAATGTCACTTCCACCCCCTTTATCTTCTAAATTTCCATGTTTATCCCCCATAGTATATGACATTTTCCACCCTTCTACTTTATAAAATGTCACTTTCACCCTCTCAACTTTTAACTTTCACAAATTTCACTTTGACCCCCTCAATTTTCTAATTTTTTGTGTTCCCCCGTAGTATATTTAATCTGATTTTCCTATAGTTACCACCCCTCAATTTCATAAAATATCATTTTCACCCCCTCAGATTTGAAGTTTGTAAAATGTCAGTTTCACCCATTGACTTTCTAAACTTGTGGTCAACGTCTCGATGTAAATTTAGAAATTTTATGTGTTGATTTTAAAAAAAAAATGTACTTTCCTTTCTCGAAGTAAATTTTGAAATTCCGTTCGTAATTTTTTAAAAAAAAAATTCGATGTAATTTGTTTTTTACATCTTCTTATTTTTTATGTACGTTTTCTTCATATAAGTCAGATTCAAGTTTCTTTACATTTGGATGTACATTTTGTATATGTTTTCGTGTTTACTTTTATGTACGTTTCTTACGTATGAGTCGTGTCATATATAATACGTTATTATTCGATGGTATAAATTGGAGTTGGTCAATGGTACGGACCTTGTATATTTATCTACCAACAAATGCAATGGTACCTAACTTCTATCAATACAATCATCAAAATTCAACCTACAAAACAGATTGGCGTTGCTGCAACACACATCGTGCAAAATCCTAATTTGTATGATACTTCACTATTAAACAGGGAGAGGTTGAGTGAATAAAAGGAACTAGGCGACGAGCACAATAACAAATGTTTATTGGATCTTTGGTTTTATTAGGATGGGAATATACATATACACTCTATTATGGCATAAGAAGAAAATGGGAACATATACAAGTACATAAAAGAAGAAAATGTGAACATAGTTCATCGAGGGTGGTGGGGTGGTGTTATTGTTAGTGAGGAGACAAAGAGGAACAAATTCACATAGGTCCACAATTGTGATAAATCAAACATTATTGTAGCCAATTGACAAAGTTAGCTAAATAATGGATTGGAAATGCAATTCAGCTAATGTAAAAGGAAACAGGTGTCAAAAGTTACAAGTGTTGGACCATTATCATGATTGATCAATACTTAAGGGTCCGTTTATGTAATTTACTCTTATGACAAAAAGACAATTTATTTAGATTTTTAGAGTTCGTAATTACTCGCAGTTCGCCATAGCTTCGCGGGAAGAAATGGAACGAGAAATGGGATCGAGAGAGAAGGACAACGATATGCAACGTTTGATTCCTCTAAAAGGATTAACTTTACCGGAAACTAATGGCGACGCGAGAGCTTCATCGCCGGCGGACACCCCTCCGGGAGCTTCCTCCTCTGCACGTCGTTCCGGAAAAGAGGTCTCCGATTTTCAATCAATCATTTGTGTTTGCGTGTCTGTTTGTGGCCCATTTTCTCAATTTCTTACGTGATTATTACATATTTCTTCGATTTCCATCCGAAACTGTGATTTCATTTACGCCAAAACATTTGGTGTTCATCCATGATCTGATGGATGCTAATGCTACGTTTGTGTTGTTAAAATCTGTTTATATAACTTGCATTATCATAATTGTATTGATTCATTGATTCTTGTTAGATTTTATTTTTGTCGAACTTCGATTATCTCTCCCCCTATTTCAGAAAGCATTTGGGAAGGTTTATTTTTGTAATTTTGTGTAAGAGGAACAAGTGAATCATTCTGATATCCTCTAATAAACTAAATACCAGAGAATCTCTCTTAATTAGGTAAATTGAATTTCACTTCTTACAATATTAAACATAAAATCTTGTGTGAAGGCAATCATCTGTCAGCAATTTTTCAAATGGTTTCTTGGTTTATCATTGTTACTCAATTTGAATTGCCAATGAGACCCTACATGTGAAATAGTAGTAGTTTAAATTAACATATGTGGTTTTGAAACATTAGTTTATGTAGAATATGTTAAAATTTAATTATATTATCAGAAAACATTGTATCATGATGTTGCTTAACTTTTCACAAGGAGCATTCTTTTAAAAAGTTTCTCCTTCTTGCTTACTTGTGCAGGCATTAGTCAAAGTTATTCACAGTTGGGCTTCAAAAAAGTTCATGAGTGGATGGTTTGTTTTGTTCTCCTCTTTCACAAAATCTTGTCTCATATTTCAAATTAATAAACACTTGAAGATTGTCATAGCAATTATAAAATAAAGCAAATCTTATCTTATATCACATTACATCCAATCTTAACATATATGGTTTATTGCAAACATTTAATTGTTTTGCAGTGTCATTTTATTTCCTATAGCCATCACATTTTATGTAACTTGGTGGTTTATTCATTTTGTGGATGGATTCTTCTCCCCAATCTACACACTTCTAGGGATTAATATATTCGGTCAGTACTTATTTATATAATCTATTATTTGTGCATCAATATATGAAATTGTTTTATATTCACAGGTCTTGGATTTGTGACCTCTATTTCTTTCATCTTTTTGGTTGGTGTGTTCATGTCATCATGGTTGGGAACCAATCTTCTTAGTTTGGGAGAGTTTATAATAAAGAAGATGCCTCTCATGAGCTATATTTACACTGCCTCTAAACAAATCAGTGTTGCAATATCACCAGGTAAGTCACTTGAGCAAAATTCAATACAAATATTTTCTGCTTAATTCAACTAATAGAAAATTACTTAAATGTTACAAGTCTATGTAACTATCTATAAATAACAATATAGAGTTAGGATCATATGATAATGATAAGTATTGTGAGACGCATTGATAAAATCAATAATTCTGATTGATTCTTGAGTATTTTACATTTTTCTAAATTAAAGGGATTTAATTATGGATAAGAATTGATTCAGAACTATTGATTCGTTCGATCCGACGCACCATAATCGCTCTTACATTCTTATGATAGGTGTGATTCTCAAAATAACTTAACCATAACAATATATAGAAATATTTGCGTAAATTACATGTTATGTCCTTGTAATCTGTTGAATTTTACATATATGGTCAAAAAAATCTCTTCATATTCAACTTTTTCTGTCCATGAAAAGTACTATTGTCATGCTTTCAATCTGTTCAATGTTAAATTCATATAAATGGCAATTTTACTTTTGCCCCTATACTTTTTTGTATGTGAATAATATTTTTATCATGCTCTCTATCCCTTTCAGAAGTCAAATTCATATAAATGACCATTTTGTTGTTATACAAAAATAAAAATATAGAATAGAGGAAAAATTGGCTATTTTACATGGATTTGTAGGCCTAAAATAAGCCGCCTTCACTTGAAGGACTAAAAGCGCTACAAAAACACTTTTCAGGGATGAAAAAAGGTTAAAAAAAACTAGACCATATCCGTAAAGAGATGAAAAATGTGATTCACCCTAAATATACCGAAAAATTAGTTTTATCCCAACTTGAATTCTGAGAGCATTCACAATGCATGGAAATGAATGGAAAAAAAAAAGGGCTACATTCTTAATTATTTTACATAAATGGAAGTCTATTGAATTTTATAGAGTTTAATAAACTATAGGAATTAAATAACAGGTTTATGAAAAATAGAATGTTGATATGACAATCCATAAACTGTACAGAGTTGAACTGATTGTGCCAATTATGTGTTGGTTCATAAACAAATTCAAGATATCATTAGCATATTTTAAATTCCGACTTTTCTAGGTCAAAGTTCAAATGCATTCAAGGAAGTTGCAATTATAAAGCATCCGAGTGTCGGAGAATACGCTATTGGATTCATAACATCGACTCTGATTCTTCGTAAGAATTCAGGTGCTGAGGAGCTTTGTTGTGTGTATGTGCCAACTAACCACCTTTATATGGGAGATATAGTCCTTGTCAATTCAAAAGACATTATGAGACCCGACATCTCGGTTCGAGAAGGTATAGGTAAGTAACTCAAAAGCATATCATATTTTCATTAAAACCATGAGTCCATTCCACAGTGTGTACAACATATGTATTTGCTCTGATATCATGTTAGATATGTGGAGTTTTTAAACTTTCTGTTAGACTCTCACATATATACAGATGAGATTGTGTCTAGCTGATGTGTGACATTGATGTTTTTGCAGAGATTGTGATTTCGGGAGGGATGTCGATACCGAAGGTATTAACTACAACGAATCCACAAAGCCTTATTGCACCAAGAGTTGGGAAGTATGTGATACCACAAGTATGATATGAACGTAAAGTCCCGTGACATCCATTTAACATGAACTTCAAGCTTTTGCTTGTAAAAACTAAATTTTTAGGGGTTTGATTTTGGAGGATTTCTCTTTTATTTTGTAATTTGTAATTAATTAATGGGTTGAATGATACATAATGACCATATTACCCTTATGTAGCAAAATTTGTTTTCATCGAATATTCATATGGCTTTAACACCAAAATGATATCTTATACAATACCAATGAATATCATTTCACTTTTAATAAAAAAAATTAATTATAGTTATAATAATATTTTTCATTAAAAGGACAATCTCTCTTTTCTTTCTCTTTAAAAGTAGTCTCTCTTTTCTTTCTCTTTAAGAAAATGGCACACCTTCTGGAAGGAAGCAAATAGTTTTTAAAACTCGATTTTGACATCCAAGAGCTCCCTTTCTTCCTTACATCAGCAACGTCTTCTAACAATATTTACTTTCTAGCTTCTTCTCCATTTGCTTCAGTGATACAAATATTGACACTTGAATCTTTCAAGAGTGAAGTTCTAATTGTGAAAGATTCGACCAATCAAGAATTCCCAAATCAGAAATCACAATTCCTAAGTTTCGATTTTCCTCACCTTTACTTTATGTTTTAATAAATACACTGTAATTTCTGTAGATCAAACATTCAAAGCCAAAAATTATAGACGACAGCCCTAATGAAGTTGTTCTTGGGATGAAATAGGATGAAATCGTTCTTGGGAGGCGCTAGAGTGAAAGTCTCGTTGAAGGGAAAATACGTGAAATGATGCAGAGGACCGAGTCAGCGTAATTTTTTTCCAGGACCCAGTTAGGCCATTCACTACCCATCAACTGACCGAGTAAGAGTATAAACCTTGGTATCAAACGGAATGACTCGGTCCGAGTCAGATAAAAGCTCCGACCGGACCCGATTAGAATGAAATCAAACACCCCCTAATTTGTTCACTAGGTATTGTTTGATCAATATTTCATTATTGTTAATTGGTATTTTCCCTGTCTCTCATTCCAATGATTTACAATTGGTATATATACAATATCCTATCGCTATCTACAATAAAGATATGGTCTATCAACTATAATAATACTTCCTCAATATGAGGAATGATATCTTCGGCTAATATACCCCCGCAGTCGAATCGGGAGGATGACGAACGTTGAGACTGTTCTTGAAATCGTCAAAGAGAATGAAAGGTAGACCCTTTGTGAATATATCCGCAATTTGATAGCGAGAGGGAATGTGGAATACACGGACTTGACCCCGAGCGACCTTTTCCCGAACAAAATGAACGTCTAGCTCGATGTGCTTGGTACGTTGATGTTGAACCGGGTTGCAGGATAAGTAAACAGCGCTGACGTTGTCACAATAGACTAGCGTGGCTGTAGTTGGAGGGACATGAAGCTCCAACATCAAATTTCAGATCCAACATGTTTCGGAAACGACATTTGCAACTCCTCAGTATTCTGCTTCAGCACTAGATCATGCTTCAGCACTAGATCAGGAGAGTGTTGGTTGACGCTTGGAGGACCAGGATATTAGGTTATCGCCCAAATAGACACAATAACCAGAAGTCGAGCGTCTCCTGTCCGGGCAACCTGCCCAATCGGCATCAGTATTGGCAACAAGTTTCCTGAAAGGTGATTTGTGAAGATGCAACCCGTGAGCAAGAGTACCTTTAATATACCTCAAAATTCGTTTAAGAGCATTAAAATGAGATGTTCGGGGTGCATACATGTGCATGCAAACTTGTTGAACCGCGTAGCTTATGTCTGGTCGTGTGAAAGTCAAATATTGGAGAGCCCCTGCCAGCTAGCGATATTGTATTCCCCCGTCAGGCAAAAGAGTTCCATCGGTGCTACTCAATTTGGCCTTACTGTCAACTGGTGTAGAAGTTGGGTGACAAGAAGTCATTCCTGCTCGTTCCAAAATTTCGGTGGCGTATTTTTGTTATGACAAAAGAAAAGAATCTTTATAACGAGACATCGAAATTCCAAGAAAGTAGTTTATGGGTCCAAGATCTTCATGGCAAACTCTTTTGCTAATAGAACCATAAAGTTATGATGTAATTCGGGTGAGGAGGTGATGAGTAAGATGTCGTCTAAATATAGAAGGAGGAAGGCCGTATGAGTTCCCTTTTTGTAGACGAATAGTGAATGGTCACATTTGTTATGTTTGAACCCCATATTGAATACGTAGTCAGCAAATCTTTGGTACCAAGCCTGTGGTGCCTGTTTAAGGCCGTAGAGAGACTTTTTAAGCAGTCATACATGATTTGGATATTAATGATCACGAAAGCCGGGGGTTGATGCATGTAAACTGTTTCATGTAGATGCCCGTGTAGAAACGCATTTTTCACGTCGAGTTGGTGAATTTGCCACTCATTAGAAAGAGCTATGGACAAAACAGTACGAATTGTTGCCGGCTTTACCATGGGGTTGAAAGTGTCACCACAGTCGATACTTGCTTTTTGAGACCTGCCATCACAAACCAAACGAGCTTTGTATCGCTCTAAAGAACCATCAAACTTAGTTTTATGGCGATAAATCCACATACTACGCACTATATTCACATTGTTATGTTTCGGGACTAACTCCCACGTTTTATTATCAATAAGGTCCTGAAACTCGTCTATCATGGATTTATTCCAATCCGGGTTCTTAAGTGCTTCTATTGGGTTTCAAGGGATAGGGGAGATAGAGGTAGAAGTATGAAGGTTATAGTGTTGTTTGGGTTTCGAAATGCCAGACATACTTCTGGTGTGGATAGTGCGAGTAGGATGAACAAAAGGTGTTTGTGAGGTGATGAGTGGGGTGTTTGAACTAAAAGGGGCTGTTGTGGCAGGCGGTTGCTAAAGGGTAGGCCGTGTACGGCGTGAATAAGTGATTAGGGGAGGTGATGGGGTGGCTGCCGGAGCATTGTTGACAACCAATGAGGGAGGCGTAGCTGCGTTGGGGGCTGGTGCAATGGAGTCGGATGTGACAATCGTCAATTTCCGGTCAAGTCAAAGTCAAACAAAGTCAACAAGTCAAACCGGTCAACTCAGTTGACCCTTGTATGTTAGGGTTTACTCTATGTAATTACTAAACAACTCGCTATTTTAATGAGAAAACATCATTTGGAAAATTCGTGTGTTTAATTTTTCTTAGCCTTGATAATGCTAAACAATGAACCAAAGAGATAAAACACTATTGCACACTCATCGGGAGTGTGTAGGACACTAAAACATGACTTAACGGGGTTTACGGACCTTGCATTGCGAAGCCGGACACTCAAAAAGGTCACAAACGAAACCTCCCTCAATCATTTTCACTCTATCTCCTTCTATTTGAAATCTCTCCCAAATCTCTCTCTGAATGAGAAATCTCTCCAAGAACGCCAAATCTCTCCCAGATCTCTCCAAGAATGTGAAATCTCTCCCAAATCTCTCTCTGAATGAGAAATCTCTCCAAGAATGTCAAATCTCTCCCAAATCTCTCCAAGAATGTGAAATCTCTCCCAAATCTCTCTCTGAATGAGAAATCTCTCCAAGTATGTCAAATCTCTCCCAAATCTCTCTCTGAATGAGAAATCTCTCCAAGAATGTCAAATCACTCCCAAATCTCTCCAAGAATGTGAAATCTCTCCCAAATCTCTCTCTGAATGAGAAATCTCTCCAAGTATGTCAAATCTCTCCCAAATCTCTCTCAAAACCTCTCTTGATCTTTTTGTAATCAATTGGGGCATCCCGACACTTGATTTGGTGAAAAACCATGCGAAACGGGACGATGCCTTGGAAAATAGCCTTTTAGGGTCGGAGTCCCTCTATAGGGATCAAACCCACCTTGAACCGGAGTCTCCTTGAGGATCCGCGATCATCTAGCCGCAGCCAGCAGCCGCAGTCACCGACCGCAGCCAGCAGCCGCAGTCACCGACCGCAGCCAGCAGCCGCAGTCACCGACCGCAGCCAGCAGCCGCAGCCACCGACCGCAGTGGCATGGAGCCCGCATCCGGTGTTCGCCTCCGGTTCTAGCTACCCGGACCGCAGCTTCCCTTTCCGCTTCGAACCCGCATCCGCGACCAAGCCCCACTTCAGATCCATGGCTCCTAAGGCCGAAGTCACCCTCCTGACTTCGGATTTGGCATTTTCCACCCGGTTTTCGACTAGTTTAGCATTTTAAGCCCGTTTTTAATTATTTTAACGCGGGATTTTCTCCAGAAATCATATTTTAACATATAAGACCCTAAATATTCATAATTTAACCATATTTTTATGGAAATCTTTATTAAGATAAAATCTAGTGGGTGAATAATTGAGGTGGAGTGTTGACTTTTCTTTAGTTTATGACACAAGCTACCACCCCCATACCCACTCCATGACCAACCATTGTCCTCCCCACCATCCCTAGTCACTTCATAGTCCTTTCCCACTCATTTTCAGCCATTATCACGTTTTGGAGCTGGAACAACTCCCTCTCTCTCTCCTCATTCTCACTCACTTCCCTCATTTACACCAAAGATCAAACCCACTTTTCTCTCAAATTCTCTCACACAAATTCGAGATTTCCAAGGCATTTTCCAGCTTTTCTCCTTCATTTGGTAAGTATCATCACCCTCCTTATGGTTATTACATTTCCTTTTACTCAAATCATTGATTCCTTACACAAACTCCATCATTTGGGTGTTAGATTCTCGAATCTTCAAGCAATCCTTAGTGTTCTTGAGTTGAACACTTCTCTCCTTCAACCTCCATCCACTGAAATCACACAAGGTGAGTTCATACCCCTACATTTTCATGCTTCTTAAGTTTTAAGGGGGGGAATACAAGTTAAATCATCAAGAACACAACTAAACTTTTCCAACAGCTTTCATCAGAAAAGTTGGACATCAATCACGGACAGTTTTGGACAACCTAAACATTTTAGTTTTCAAAACTGTACAAGGTGCAAGTGGTTCAAGTCCTTAGCTTTAAAATGGTTACTTGCAAATCTCCATACGATTTTTCTACAATTTATGGTGATTTTTACAAAACTGCCTATCATTTCAAACATCAATCCGGACCAATATGTGATTATGGACTTGTTCACACAAGTTATAGGTCACTAAAAATCATGAGAAAAATTATGGTGAAACTACACTCATTTTCCA